TCCAGCTCACGGACGCGTTCAACGTCGTGCTCAACGTGCCCCAGCTCGAGTCGCCCGAGGAGATCGCCGCGGCCCTCGCGGACCGCGTCCCCGACGACGCGCAGCGCGCGGCCATCGCCGCGGCCATCAACAAGCCCATCGGCGTGAAGCAGCTCCTCATGGTCCTCGAGATGGCGCGCGACCCGGAGGGCACGGGCGTCGACCCCAACAACTTCCTCGCCTGCCTCCACCACGTCCTCGACTAGGTAGCGGCTTAGCGGCGAGGCTCAGGCTCCGACGCTTGGAGGACTGCAAGCATACAGCAACGTCGATTCAAGAATCGGCCCGGAGAGCTCGGGGAACGCGATGCTGCGCTCTGCTTGACGAGTCGTCGCTGTTCCACGAAGGGTACGAGCGAAGATGATCCTGCGCTCTCACCACTTGCCCCGCATCGCGCGCTACACGGCGGCGCTCGTCGCGCTCGTCTGCGTCGCCACCATCGCCGTGCAGGATGAAGAATCGGCGCAGCGCGGCGGCGTCGCATCGCTGCGCATGTCGGAGCCGATGATGTACGCCGAGGAGGCGATGGACGCGGCGATGGCCGACGACGACTTCGGGCCGCCGCCGCCGGCGCCGCCGATGATGATGAGCGCGCGGTCGGCGCCGAAGATGGCGCGCGCGCGTGCGGAACCCATGCAGAGGTCGCGTAACGCGCGGGGCCCGTCGCTCGGCGCCGACGTGCTCGCGGAGAGCGCGCCGGCGGCCTTCGACCCGGCGAGCGTGGCGACGATGCTCGTGCGCACGGGCACCGCGCGCGTCGTGACAAGCGCGGACGTCTTCGCGGCCGCCGACGCGCTCGCGGCCGCCGCCGAGGCCCGGGGCGGCTTCGTCGAGCGCCGCGAGGACGAGGGCGGCTACGTCGACGACGAGGGCGCGCGCCGGGGCATGGCGGCGTCGCTCACGCTCCGCGTGCCCGTCGCCAAGTACGCTGAGCTGTTATCGCTCGTCAAGGCCGGCGTCGGCGGGACGAAGCCCGCCGAGGTCGCGTCCGTCGGCGACACCGTCGTCGACGTCACGGGCGACTACGTCGACGCGGCGTCGCGCGCGGCGACGCTCGAGGCGACGCGGGACCAGCTCCTCAAGCTCATGGCCAGCGCCGACGACGTCAAGGACGTCCTCGCGGTCCAGCGCGAGCTCTCGTCCGTGACGCAGCAGCTCGAGGCGAAGAAGGCGACGATGGCGCGCCTCGGGAAGAGGGCCGCGCTGTCGACGATCGCCGTGTCGCTCGTCCAGAGGGAGCCCGAGCGCAAGCCGCCGCGGCCCTGGCGGCCCAAGGCCTGGTCGCTCTCGCGCACCTTTTCGCGCGCGGTGAAGACGCTCGCGGCCTTCGCGCAGAAGAGCGTCGACGTGCTCGTCTTCCTCGCCGTCTTCGCCGCGCCGGCGATGCTCGCCGCGGCCGTCGCCCTGTGCCTGCCGCGGTCCCTCAAGCTCCAGCTCGCCGCGGCCTGCGCGACCGGGCCGCGCCCGGAGGACGCGTGCCCGGCCTTCGGCGACGCGAAGGTCGGCTAAGCAACCCCCGGTTAGACGACGGCCGCGGGCCCGTCGTCCGCGGCGGCGCGCGCGCCGCCGTCCTGCGCCGGGAGCTCGACGCCGGCGCCCGCCGTGTCGCGCCGCCGCCGGGCCGCGAACGCGCAGAGCGCGAGGACCGCGGCGGCGGCGGCGACGGCGAGGAGCTGGGCCGCGGGGTCCGTCCCCGCGGCGACCATGGCCGCGGCGCCCGTCGTGAGGAAGACGGCGATGGCGCGCTGCATGAAGTCCTGGTCGACGCTGTCGGCGAGCGCGTTGCCCGCGGCGAGGCCCGCGAGCGCGGCCGCGATCATCGTCGCGTAGGACGGCCACGCGGCGCCGTCGTACTGGGCGCCGGGCCCCAGGTAGAGGTAGAGCTGGAGGTAGGTCATCACGGCCGTGACGACGGCCGACGACGCGCGCCAGAGGAGCGGGTCCACCGCGACGAAGCTCAGGAGCACCATGACCGGCGGGCCCGGCGTGCCGAACATGCCGCTCATGATCCCGCCGGCGAAGCCCGCGGCGACGACGGCCGCGCGGTGGCGCCCGTTCCCGCGGTCGAGCGCGGGCATCGGCGGCGCGGCGGCCGCGCCGGGGCGCGCGAGGCCCAGCAGGGTCCGGCGGTACTTGAAGCCCATAATAGATAAAAAGAGGCAGCCCATCGTGCGCTGCGCCGCGACCACGGGCAGCCGGAAGATGAGCGCGACGCCCGCGAGCAGCCCCAACAGCGTCGGGGGCAGCATGTGCGCGACGATCCACGGCTGCGCGGACTTGCGCAGGTGGACGCCCTGGATCGTCCGCGTCAGCGTCATGAAGATCGACAGGCTCGTCGTCGCCGACACGACGCTGCCGTCGCACAAACCCGCGAGCTGGGCGCAGTGCCAGCCCGTCTGGAAGATGACGCCGTTGCCGAAGCTCGTCATGGCGTAAGAAACGTTGCCGAAGAACGTGAGGCAGCCCATGACGGCGAGCTCCGCGGCGCCCGCCATCGGCGCGGCTTGCAAGCGTCTAGGTGAACATGCGGGTTGTGGGTGTGGTGCGATCGGGTGGGCAGGCCATGCTCGAGCGCCACTTGGTGCCAAGGGCAACACCGGCCTTGGGGGAAAGCCTCAGGCGCCGTGCCCGATTCAGCCGAGGAGGATAGACGGCGGCTGTTGTCGAGAGACGCGCCCGGGGCCATGCAGAACATTAAATGCGTCGTCGTGGGCGATGGCGCCGTCGGGAAGACGTGCCTCCTCATCAGCTACACGACGAACGCGTTCCCCGGCGAGTACATCCCGACGGTCTTCGACAACTACAGCGCGAACGTGATGGTCGACGGGAAGCCCATCAACCTGGGCCTCTGGGACACGGCGGGCCAGGAGGACTACGACCGCCTCCGGCCGCTGTCCTACCCGCAGACCGACGTCTTCCTCCTCTGCTTCTCGATCACGAACCCCAACTCCTTTGAAAACATCCGCACGAAGTGGCGAGGACCCGGCGCCCGGGAAAGTCGCCGGGGGGCGCCGCCGGGGCCCCCGGGGGGCGCCGCGCGCGCGCCCCGCGCGCGCGGCGGCCCGCGCGCGCGCCGAGGCCCCGGACGGAGGCCTCCGCGCGCGCGCGCGCGCGCCGGCCGCCGCCGCGCGGCCTCGACCGCGGCCGCCGCCGCGCTCTCGCGCCCCGCGCGACGGCGCGACCGCCGCTCACCCGCGCGCCCGCCAGGTACCCGGAGATCAACCACCACGCGCCCGGCGTGCCCTTCATCCTCGTGGGCACGAAGCTCGACCTCCGCAACGATCCGGATACGATCGCGCGGCTCCAGCAGAAGCGCCGCGCGCCCGTGAACACGGAGGAGGGCGAGGCCCTCGCCAACGAGCTCAACGCCTACAAGTACATCGAGTGCTCCGCCCTCACGCAGCAGGGCCTCAAGGGCGTCTTCGACGACGCGATCCGCTGCGTCATCGACACGCAGAAGAAGCCAAAAAAGAAGTCGAAGCGGTGCGTCCTCATCTAGTCGGGCGGCCGGGCCGGCGCCCTTGCCCCGCCGCGCCGGCGCCTCGACCGCGCCGGCCGCGGACGGTCCCCCAAGCGCGCGGTCCGCGGCGCGACGCCCGGCGCCGCGGGGCCCCCGCCGCGCGCTCCCCCGCCCCGCCCCCTCGCGCCGCGGCGCCGAGCCCCTCCGACGGTATTCATAAATGTACATCCTACTGGAAACCACGTGTGTTCCTGGCGGCCGAGCGGTGGTTGAATTCAAGTTGAAGCTCTTCGAGAGCTCGAGTGCTCACGATGCGTCAGGCCTCAACGATGATCGCGCTCTGCGCTGCCGCATTGCTGTCGACCTGCGCGGCGTTCGCGCCGCGCGGCGCGCCTCAAACGCGCATCGCGACGCCGCGTAGCGCGCCTCAAACGCGCATCGCGACGCCGCGTAGCGCGGGCTTTGGCGCGGCGACGGAGAAGAAGAAGAAGAGCTTCGTCAAGCCCGGCAAAAAGGACCTGGAAAAGCAATGGGAGAACTTCTTCGTGTTCCAGTCCAAGGGCGCGAACCTGCTCCGCTGCGAGTCCGTCTGGGCCCGCGCCGGCGGCGACGGCGCGGCCTGGCTCCGCGTGGGCTCCGTCGTGACCAAGGCGGACGACGTCACGAACGGCGCGGCCGTCGCCGCGCAGAAGCCGCTCATCGCCTGGACGGCGGCGGAGCTGCACCCGACGCTCCAGGCCGCCAAGGCGCCCCTCGAGTTCGGCCTGGGGCCCTACGTCGACGACGACGAGGACGACGACGGGGAGCCCGACGTCTCGAAGGTCGTCGCCACGGCCGCCAAGGCCGGCGGCGCCAAGGCCAAGGACGTCTCGTTCAAGCCCGTGCGCTCACCCCTGCCGGAGCACCAGACGTCCCTGGCCGGCGCGCTCCTCAACAAGTCCGTCGGCAAGGGCTCCGCCAAGTTCAAGGGCGGCGGCGGCGGCGCCGCGACCGCGGACAGCGCCAAGGAGGGCGGCATGAAGGGCGGCTACCTCTAGGGCCCCGCCTAACAACAGACGATTAGAGGTAGGCGCCGAGCGCGTCGAGCTGGCGGATCTTCGCGACGAGGTGCGTGCGGCTCGTCGCGAGGCGGTCGACGATGAACGCCGGCGCGCCGCCCGGCGCGACGAAGGACACGGTCGTGACCATGGTCTCGCGCGGGCCCAGGGGCCGGATGTGGTAGCCCGACGCGCGCACGTCGAGGCGCACGCGGCCCGCGTCCGGCGCGGCCGGGTGGTCCACGGACGTGCCCAGCCGCACGGCGACGTCGCCCTTCGTCGCGCAGACGCCCAGGATCACGGCCTCGCGCGTCGCCAGGGGCCAGACCTTCTTGTAGGTCAGCACGTCGACCGTGAAGGGCCGGCTCGGCGCCCAGCCGTCCGGGAGCTCGAGGCCGCCGCTCGGCCGCGACGCGACGGTCGTCCGACAGTCCTGCATGCGCTCGAGGCGGTTCGGCACCTCGTCGGCGGCGCCGGCGATGGCCGCGTCGATGGCCGACGCGGGCGCGCGGACGACGCCGCGGCTCATGGCGTCCTTGCCGCCGTCGTCCGACGGCCGCAGGAACCGCGACACGCCGTCCTCGCCGCCGACGCGCGTCCAGCCGTTGGCCGTCGGCTCCGCGTCGATCTCCGCGATGAACGCGTCGAAGGCCGCGCGCGCCGCGGCGCGCAGCGCGCCGAGGTCGCCGCCGCCGTCGCCGGACTCGTCGGCCTCGCGCGCGGGCCACCGGCCCGCGTCCGCGAGCGCGGGCGTCCGCTTGAGCCGCGCCATGCCCAGCGGCCGGTCCATGGCGACGAAGTTGACGACGGGCGTCGGGATAAC